TCTATGTGCTAATAATCTTTTGTCTCAAAATCAGCACGGGTTTGTGCCAAATAAATCATGCATTATAAATTTATTGGAAACTGTCGATCAGATCTCGTTCTCAATGGCAAGTGGCTATAGTCTAGATGCTTTATATTTAGACTATAAAAAAGCATTTGACACACCTCCTCATAAACTTTCTGGATATGGTATCTCTTATATGCTTCTTAATTGAACAAATTCTTTTCTTTCTAACAGAACACAATGAGTTGTCATGGGTTCCGCTACTTCAGATTTTTTACCAGTCACCAGTGGTGTCCTACAAGGATCTGTTCTAGGACCTCTTTTATTTATCTTATACATCAATCAATGAAGTTATATGCCAACGACAGCAAAGTTATTTCCACCAACTTGACACCTGAGAGCCCAGTTTCGCTCCAGAAGGATATAAATCATATCACATCTTGGACTCTAGCCTGTCGCTTATGTCTCAACTACAAAAAGTGCTTATTGTATGTTTTAACAAAAGTAAAAATCCTAAACACCAATACTATATCTTGACTCAGCAAGGAATGCAGCTTCTCGATTCCTTACACAACGAAAGAGATCTTGGCATTTGCATCTCACACAACTTCAAATGGGACACTTACATTGAAATAATATCATCTAAAGCTAACTCTGTTCTCGGTCAACTAAAGAAACTGTTTATTTATAACAATGCTTAAGTTTGGAAGAGACTATACACATCCCTTGTCAGACCTCACCTTAAGTATGCTGCTCTTGTATGGAATTCTCTTTCTGCACGCAACACCAAAAAACATAAAAAAGTACGAAACCACACCACTTAAAGCAACTCTGTCTTTAAGAGTCCAGCGAAGCCAGATTATCATTTCTTCACCTCACCTCACTAAATGAAAGACACATTCAAGGTGATTTAATCTACAACTCTAAATTTAATAATAATTTAGAAAATGTTTATTGGCTTAACCCACAAATTGGCAATACATGTGTCCATATAACTCGAGGACACTCTCAATGTCTCATCAAGAGTTCTTTAGTGCTTCAGACCTCAACAACAACATGCGAGCTTTCTCTACTTGTCTTAATTTCTTTCCTAACAGAGTAGTCAACTGATGGAATTCACTCCCACAAGCTGCAATTGACTTTCGTAACCTAAATGAATGTAAATAATGAATCAATAAACAATCCATCCAGCACTAGTTTTATAATTTAATACCTAAATGCAGCTACAGCTTATCATCTACTGACAAGGAACTAAAGAGCTGCAACCCCTTTCAAGCAAAATAAAAAAAAAAAAAACTCATTTACTTTGTGTTACAAATTTAATACTTATTTTAATATTTTCTTGCCACAGCTTATCATTATTATTCTTATTATTACTATTATGTATATAATTTTATATATATCAATATCTATCTATCTATCTATCTATCTATCTATCTATCTATCTATCTATCTATCTATATATATATATATATATATATATATATATATATATATATATATATATATATATATATATATATATATATATATATATATATATATATATATATATATATATATATATATATATATATATATATATATATATATTTATACACAGGGTGTAAACTAGCCCTGTGGCGCCCCATCAAACCCCATAAAATTAAAATTCCCAATTCAAAGGTAAAATTAAAATAAAAATTCTTCAAATAAATTTTGCCAAATAATAAATTAAAGTTTAATAATAACTCTAAAATTTATTGAAAGTTAAGTATTATTAAATACTTAGAGAAATAAAATAAACTGTGAAAATGTCTCTTAGGAGAAAATTTCTGAGAATTGGGATTTTCTAAACGATTTCAGGGATTTTCTAGGCAACTTGCTTGTAAAATTAATTTCTCAAAATTTACATATCATTCTTTGCAATGCCTTATTTACAATCTAAAAAAAAAAACAAATTTATTTGGTTTCAATCAAGAAAATGCTATTTCTTTAAAAGCTTCGCCTATTTTGGCTGAAAATTCAAACAAACTATTGACAAACTCTACTTTAAGTTGTACATCTACTTTGTCAACAAGGGTGTTTCAAAATACCGAGAACCCGTTTACGTCAGATAATTTCGAAATTTCGATCAATGCGGATATTACAGTAAGTCTTTTAGTTAATGTTTTTTTTTTGTCTGGTATTTTATATCAACTGAATTACGTGATCGCATCGACTATAATTTTTTAGAAATAAAAGTTAAATACAAAAAATGTAATACAATTACAACAAACTGTTACTAAAAATTTGTTTAACGAGGAAATTAGATTTCTTTATTTTACTGCTTGCATGTATTTAAAACGTAAACTAAACACGTATACTAAAACGTAACTTTAATACTTTTAATAACAAGAAAGTTTTTTTTTTTAATAACAAACTAATACAAGAAATTTAAGTAACAAAAAAACTAAATTCACTGCTAGCTTGAATTTAAAATGTAAAAGTAAATGTTTGAATGAACCATGTAAAAGCAAGTGTTTGAATGAAATTTTATAACATTTTATGACTATGAATGAAAAAATATTTATTAGTGTTATTTGCTGCAATGATAAAATGCAATCGCTGGCACCAACATTCTTTTGTAATTAAACATTCGTTATTGTTTTTGGTGAGATTTTGTTTTGCTATGCCATTTATGTATAACACTAATTATAAAATTTATTTTATTTTTGGCGCTGTCCTATTAGTCTATCCAGCGCTGAAGTGGAGTGGAAGTGGAAAGAAGATAAAAAAAGGGCCCACGCATTCCCGGAACACATTTTAATTACAGGAATGATAGAGGGGGTTGATGGGGCAGGGGTTGGGGAAGGTGTGTGTGTGTATGGGGGTAGGGGTAGGTAGAGGGGAGGTGGAGGGGGTATTAATCTGAAAATATTATATCAAAATCCCAATTTCGTCAAAACGCTGTAACAAATTTCGTCAAAACACTGTAAAAAAAAAAATTATATATATATATATATATATATATATATATATATATATATATATATAAATATGTGTATATATATATATATATATATATATATATATATATATATAATATATATATATATATACATAAAGAAAAAAAAATCAAGATGCTTATCAGGCCAAAGTTTTTTGAGTTTAAAGTCACATAAGAAAAAAAAGATGCTCAAGCATGTATTTCAGATTGTATGTATGTATGTTATTTCTAAGTATACAAAACTGTTTTACCTGGTAAAATCATAACTGTCAAGAAATGCAGACAGTTGCAATTGTAGAGGTAAATTAAGTTCAAAAAAATTAAGTTGAAAGTAAAAAAGACAGTTAAGTGAGCTTTCCCAATAAAAAAATAACATGCTGTATATGCACATAATTTAAAAATGATAGTGTTTTAAAGGAGAATATTACTGAGCTTCTTAAGAATGACACTTACTATTTTTCATTAAAAATTACAATAAAATAAACTTATCTATTAACTTAGCTTTATTAAACTGTAAAAACTATAATACTTAAACACATCACAAAGACCTAAAATTATGTTTTCTTTACATTAGAATAATAAAATAACATTTAAAGAGGAATATATTATATATCAGGTATTATATCATTTTAATCATGTAGTAGATAATTGTATAGAAAATTTATTTTAATATAATTTTAAAAATCTTTTACCATAATAAAGATTTTTATAACTTAATGATGATATAATTATAAATATAAGTAGCATTGCATTTTTTTTAACACTTTAATTTTTTTATTTTAGATCTATTTTAAACTACATAGTTTTACAATATTTTACCATAAGAAAGGTTTTTATAACTTAATTTTTATATAGTTATGAATGTAAGTACCATGGCATTTGTACTTTTTTTTTTACACTTTAATTTTCAATTTTAGATTAATTTTAAACTACATAATTTAGTCGATTATGTTTTAAATGGAATAAATTATGTAATTCAAAATTGATTATTCAAATTAAAATTATTACAATGGGCTATACAATATTGACTTTGCTCATTTCGTTATAAGGACTTTTTAATTAAAATAGCAAAGAAATTAAATTTGCAATATATAAATTGCAATAAAGAAATTAAATTTGCAATAAATAAATTTTGGCTATAATTTATTAAACTCTTTTAGATTGTATGATATTTATTAAACAAATTAGTTTATCATAATACAAACTAACTAAATAACCCATTGAAATAGATTTTTTATTTAATTGATTATTTCCTTAAAGTTTTTTTACGATTGTTTATAATTGTTTATGTATATAATAACTTTTATGATGTTTATGATTGTTTCTAATAAAAACTTAATTTTAATTTATAGATTTTTTTCAAATTTAATAACTGTGTTTGTTCAATAAAATTTTAAAAAATTAAAGAGCTAATATCAATATCTGTACTTAAATCTGTATTTTTATATTAAGTGTCACATGCTGCAGATGATAATCAATTTAATTAATTTTAGTTTGAGTTTTATTTTTTATGCAGAACTTTAAATGTTTAAAACATAAATAAGTAAAAATAAATAGTGCCAATATATAGAAAATCTTTTAAAACATAATTTTATCTTATTTCAGGACTTGAACAGTTTCAGGGAGTTCAATTTTTTAAATTGTTATTTTGTATTTATAAAATTATCTTTTAGCTGTCAAAATAGTAATTTGTTTGGCCTGGTTTTGTTGATTTCATAGAAAAAATTTTTAGTGAAAAATTGTATTGCAGATGGAATTTAAAATGAAAAAGTTAACTTAAACTCTTTTTCCTTTAATTTTTTTTTAACTCATTAACATTTTTTTAAATTTGTTATAAATGCTCAATTTTCTCATTTCTTTATCATTTTAATTGTTAGCTCCTCAAATATTAGAAATAAACGAAAAGAAATTTACTAAGTATTTTATACATCATAAGTGTTGTTTTAAATAAAAAATAAAGCCTAAGTAATAACAATTAAAAGAAACATTTAAGTAATATAACACCTTATAATTTTAATAAAAATAATACCTTGAAATAAGCATATATCATCTAATCGGCCAAACCCAGAACCATAAATATTCAACTAAAATTTTGAAATCATTTAAAGTCTTAATATCATCAAATTAAACAATATTGGTATAAAAAAAAATTATTAATGAAGTTTAAATGTTATTTGAAAAAATAATATCCTTAATTTAAAAAATGTATACTTTCTATTTATTTCTTAAAATATTCATAACACATTCACAACAACACATAACACATTCATAACAACATTATTAACTTATGTTTGCTTTCTCACAATTTAGATATTATTGTTTTATTATTCATAAACTATAAAATCATTTCAAATCAACATTCATGCTATGATCAATCTAAAAAATAATTGGTAATGAAAAAACTTTTATTAAAAAGCAATTTTAAAACTAGAAAATTTTTTTTATAAACTTGTTATATAAAGTTTACTAAAAAAATTTATTAAAACAATTATGCCTATAGGCTTGGTTTCGGTTTTAATGGCTGGTTTAATTATATACAGTTTTAAGCATTAAGAGATAAAAAAAAAACTTGAATGATTTGAAACTGTAAACAAATAAACAAAATAGTTGAATGTAAAACAAACATTTAAACTAAATTTAAAAAAATTTCTTTCTTTAACACAGTTTGGAAAACTTAAAAGTACAAAAAAAAAAATTGTAAAATGGAGCATTTTAAATTAAAAAAAAAATTTGAATTAAATTTAATCAAATAAACTTAATATTTTACAATAACTTTTTATTAAGTTATTGTAATTGTTATTTTTGTTATTAGTCAAAAAAAGAATGGAAAAGAAACTTTTTGAAAAAGTTTAAGTTTAGTTTTTTTCATTTTCCTCATGTAAACTAAAATAGAAAGTTAAAGATCAAAAGCTTATTCTTTTAAAAATTAAATTTGCATAGTAGTTAAATTTGCATAGTAGTTTATGTGATAAGGGATTGTCCATAAATTACGCAACGCCAAACTTTAAAAAAAAAATGTAAGTAGAAGATCATTTTGCTCTTTTGCGGTTTTAGCTGGACTTTAAAGGTTGTTTAATATACTTGGTTTAACTAATGACTCTGCGAGGGAAAGCTTTTAATCCTATGCCTTTTGCCTGTAAGTTTAATTTCACGTTATGTAATTTATGGATGATCCCTAGACTGAAATTTTTTACTTTTGTTCATTTATAATCAAAAGCAGTTCACTCTTAATTGTCAACAAACAAAAATTAGTTTTACTATGAATGGATATTTTAAAATCATTTTATCTTTTGAAAAAGCAAACTTTTTATAGGCTACATTGTTATAAAATATTGTAACAAGTTTTTAAAATTAAGTTTCTCAATTCATTTTTATAAAACGTTCAGTTAGTAACCGAAGGACAGTTGCATTACATAACTACGTTTAAAAAGCAATTGCTTTTAATTTATTTTATCGTCCTGAAAAAAAATGAAGTAGCTAAAATAAACTGAAAATTATTTATATGCAACTGCATTTAAAACCAAAAAAATATTTTACTATTTTTAATAAAAGAGAAAAAGAAAAATTAAAAGATAAAATAATTTTTAGGCGCTTTTTTTTGGGCATCAATACCGCTCCAGCAGCACTAAAACAGGTCTGGGTTTGTCCCTGTGTATATCTATATCTGTGTATATCTGTGTATATCTATATATGTCTATCAGGCTTAGTTACAAGATTTCACTGTATAACGAAAATGCTTAATGCATTTCAAAGTAACTCAACTCAGCAAATATATTTTGTATTGTTAGAAGTTAAATTTCGTCACTAGTTCAAGTACCACATTGTAATTAAAGTAATTTTCTTAATGCGTTAAAAATCATTCAGACAGTTTTTTTTTTCTCACTATAATAAAAAATACTAATAAAATCCAAGTTCCTATTTGAAAAATCATTTTTATTATTTTTTTCAAATAGGAACTAAATTTTATTTTGAAAAAAATATTTTTTTTTATAAAACGCAACATAATAATTATTTATTTTCCTAAAATTTTACAGTTGGTTTTTGGTTATTTTATTAACTGTTAATAAACTTTTTCTCATCAACTTTATGAACTCTTTTTAATAATGTTTTTTAAACAATAAAGAGTTTTGTCAGTTACCGATAACATATTTGCAATCATAATTTATGTTCATAAATTAAACTAATGTAATTAAAACTTTACGTTATATCGAATTGAATTGACAATAAACAAAATATCTTATTAATTAAATATTTATATCAAAATAAATTGTGCATTTTTTAAATTATTATGAAAAAAAAAATCATTTTTATAATTAAAAGGAATTTATATATTTAATTCTTTAAGATTGTCTGCTAGCATATCATCTTCGCTGTCTAGTCATCAGTATCACTGCATGTTTATATATCTTGAATAGTTCTCTTGACTTCCAAGTTTGATCTGGATATTGTTCTATTTTTATGTTGGTGAATTATGCATGTTAGAAATCACGTAGATACGTGTTGAAAGTCACACGTTATTTCAATTGTAATTAAAATTTTACAGTTGGTTTTGGTTATTTTATTAACTGTTAATAAACTTTTATTCTCATGGGACTTTTTTATTTTGCATATATAGAGACGATTTTTGTGTAGAGTTTGTGAGGTTAGAAGGAAGCTATAAAATAATACGTTTTGTTTATTCAATTCATGGACGCGACAATTATTTCGGCAATTATGCCACCGGTATTCGATGGCAACCATCAGCGGTTTGTCCGTCAACTACGAACAAAACAATAATATTAACATGTTTGCCACCACAGATTTATTCTGCACTGGAAGATTTATACTTGCCTGCATACCCAGAAGATGATCTACTTAGACATTGAAGAAAACATTATGAAGCTTTTTAAACCGAAGTCATCGTTAATAAAACGCTTTGAATTTGCATATATAAAAAAAGCAAGTAATGAAGGTGTAATAGAATTTTTACAACGGATTGTAAGAGCTGCTGAAGGATGCAAATTCACAGATAGAGATGGTCGAATGTGTGACCAATTCATCACAGATTTTAACAATGGTGTTACAACCAAACGGTTATTACTAGAATCTGAGAACTAACGTTGGAAAAGGCTGTGGAAATTGCTGTTACCCTTGAACGAGTAACCCAGGAAGCTCAACAATTAGATGGTTCCAATATTGTAATGATTGTGGCAACATCGTTACTTCCGCGGACATCTAATGTGTCCGACACAAACAAAGTTACATGTTTCAATTGTGGGAAACTTGGACATTTTGCACGGGACTGCGAAGCTAAATGCAAGACTTGTTCACACGATCATCAAGCTAAAGACTGCTTCAAACGATTGCAAAGTTTAAAAGGAAAAAGGGAGAATTTGGAAACAATGGCATCCAGTATTCTCCCATAAATAATGTTGGTATCATTAAAAGTGAAAATAAATGGAATGCTCCGAACAGCATTAATTGATTCTGGATGCTCCATCACTGTTATTCATGCCAAATCCATGCATGTTCTTGTTTTAAAAAGTCAAAAACTTATCACAACTTTGGGAGGAGCTGTGCAAGTGCTAGGTGAAACGGTAATCAAATTGGAAATTGATGGAATACACTGGATGGTTAATTCTCTGGTTGTAAAACTAACATTGGGACCACCTAAAGTATTGATACCGCTTATGTGCGTAGTGCAAGAAAATAAGGAAAAAAAGGTACGTCTAGTGGGAGAATTCCAAGCTCTCAACGAATTTGTAAATTGTCACACAACGAATGCAGACGTTTGTCAAGAAAAACTGCATTATTGAGAAAAATTAAAATTGCAAAAATTCTTGATCTTAAAAAAGCCTCCCTCTAAATTCATATTGATAAAAGACTTTAACCATATCAAATGATGAATTTAAACCAGAATGTGTTTTAGCATTAATGTGGCTCCAACAATAATGACCACAACACTTTAACATGTGCTCAATTTAAATCCAACTGTAAAAAAAGCATGAGATAACTACATTGATGATATATTTGCGGATGAAAGTGTGGAAACTGCGTAAAATGTAGCAAAGCATCTGCATAAATCCGGGTTACAATGTAAACCTCCACAAAATCTTGAACAAGGATGTGTCTTAGGATTGAAAATCAAAAGAAATAAAAATGGGAAACTGATATGGAAACAAGACAATGTGGTACAATTTAAACATTTAAATGCAGTCACACAATCATAGCTTTTCAGTCAAATAACAGAGAAATCTAATGTCAGGTCAGGTTTATCCTGCTACTGGTAACATGTAACCCAGTACAATCTGCTTCATGTCCTGCTGCCTTGTAGGATATGCCTTTTTAGGCAAAGGCTAGGAGATGCAAACTCCAACATAAAACACCCCCTGCCTTTGGGCTCTTGGTTGAGTAAAGGTTAGAGGTGTCTTGATAAAAATACTTATCTTGGGCAGATGTTAAACGCATCCGGCTGCTGTCTTGTAGAAGGCCTCCTAAACAAAGACTTAAGGGGTAAACAGATTCTATCTGTTGACCAGCCTTGCACCCCTTCTCCATCTATTAGGCTGGCGCAGATGTATTTTTAATACATCATTTCCAGTTTAGGATGTTGAACGCTGGAGCTTCTTGAGTCGATGCATGGGTTTTGCTTTTGTCTCTGTTTTTATGACTAGGCAACTCATTCTATTATCTCCAAATGAGGGTACAGCTCTAAAACTCAGTTTATGGTTCTGAGGCCGGCTGGTAATCAGGTTTCCCGAACTCTGTGATAGCTCTCAGAGAGGCTGATTCCATCAACAGCTGAAAAATATCAGTACTAACAGTGCCATGTTGCGCATGGATGGTGTTTGTACTTTTGGTGTGCATTGCCAAGGCCACATTGGAGCCCTTTGTTACAACTTAGGGTTTATTAGTGAAAATGAGGCAATTGCTTGGGCTATAAAACAGTGTACTGAGTACTATCTATGTTACGAGTCAAGTTCTTTAACAAATTTAAAAATGAATAAAGTAACAAAAACTATAAAACACAAAAAACCATAGTCATCACCAAGTTCGCTAAACCTATCATTCACCAATATTCGTGGTCTTTGAAGAAACTTTACTT